GGGCCCTGCCGTCTCTGTCCTTTGTTGATCTCTATCCGATTCACAAGCCCTGACCGTGGCAAGTGGCAGGGCGAGCTTCAGCCAGCTCAGAGGGGCTGCCCTTTCTGGGGTCCCTGGCTTGCTGACTCGCCCCTCTGGGCCAGGTGGAGGCCCCCAGCGAGTACGAGAGGGAGACTTGGAACCTGAGCTCCACCGAGAAGATGCAGGCGGTGCCCATCCTGCACGGAGAAGGCAACCGGCTCTTCAAGCTGGGCCGCTACGAGGCGGCTTCCACCAAGTACCAGGAGGCCATCGTCTGCCTGCGGAACCTGCAGACCAAGGTCGGGCAGGGGCGGCTGGTGTGGGGAGCATGGCCACAGCGGGGTGGGGCTTGGGTGAGGGGCTGGCAGGGGCCCCAGTTCACCACCCTGATTCTCCCCACGGGGCAGGAGAAGCCTTGGGAGGTGCAGTGGCTGAAGCTGGAAAAGATGATCAGCACCCTGGTCCTCAACTACTGCCAGTGCCTGCTGAGGAAGGGAGAGTACTACGAAGTGCTGGAGCACTCCAGCGACATCCTCCGCCACCACCCAGGTGGGAGCCGAGCCAACCCCACCACTCCCTGCTGTCCAGTCAATTCTGACTCATGAGGATTCTTACAGGGTGTGCAACACAGAGTAGAACTGCCCCTGTGGGTATGACTCTTTACCGGGGGCAGAAAGCCTCATCTTTCTCCTTCGGAGCTGCTGCTGGTGGTTTTGAATCATTGACTTTATGGATAGCAGTCTAACGGGTAGCCCACTCTGCCACCAGGGTTCCTCAAACTCCTGAGGGTCCCCTGATCCAAGGTCAAGGAAGCAGACAGCGAAGTCTTTCCTTGGGCAATGCAGGCAGAGTCCTCCCTCAGGCAGCCTCAGGAGCTTAGTGAAGCAGGCCCGATAGGATACTGAACTCAAGCAATGCAAGGCGACAGGATCCAGCAGCCTCAAACAGTGTGCACATCCGCAGCTTGGTGAAGCAGGTCTTGAGGGAGCCTCAAGCTCTAGCGACGCGATCCCCAGGTTGACTTGTTCCACAGGTAGTGTAGTTCACAAGTTGAGGCAGAGAACTAGCTAACGCAGCCACAAGCTGGTCCAATCACCAGAGAGCAAGAGAGAGGGGGGTGGGCTGTGCAGAGCTATTTATCTCTTTGCCCTCCAATCAAACTGCAACCTGATTAATCCCACATGTTCCCATTGGCTAGGATGGCATAATAAACCTACCTATTGCAGTGCCCTTTGTCACAGGCGACTGGTGAGCCTTGCTCTATGGGTGCCATGGATTAGTCATTGGGCTGTTAAACAACAGGTCAGTGGTTCAGATCCGCCGACTGCTCTGCAGGAGATAGATGGGGCTTGCTAAACCCGTCAACAGTTACAGTCACAAAATAGGGCTGCTAGGCGTTGGACTCCCATTGATGACAGTGCTTTTCTTTGCTTGGTTTTGCAGGGTTGCTGTTAGTCAGAACTGACCTGAAGGCAGTGGGTTGACTTTTCTGGTTTCAGACACACACATCAGTGGATCCCCCAAACGTAGACTATTATGGGGCCATCAATTGGCTTTTATTATTTTTTCTAATGGGGCTAATCGATAGAGAACACTATTAGAGAAATACTAGTACAGAGGCCTGATAGTGCAGTGGGTTAGGCATTGGACTGGTAACTGCAAAGTCAGCAGTTTGAAACCACGGGAGAAAGACGAGGCTTTCGACTCCTCTACAAAGCTGTAGTCTCTGACACCCAGAGGCAGTTCTACCCCGTCCTGTAGGGTCACTATGGGTTAGAATGGACTCCCTGGCAGTGAGTTTGGTTTTGCAGTTTTAGTGCAGTTCGCTGGCAGATAGGACAACATGCCATTTGCGCAGGTGGTACCCGAAGAACATTGACAATAGCAATGTCTAATGCATATATTCACTTACGATGAGTCAGGCTCTCTGCATTTATGAGCTCAGTTTCTCCTCATGCTGACCAAGTAGAGAGCCTGAAGCTTTTACCATCTTGGGTGCTTCCTAGTGCAAACTGCAAGGTTGTTGGTTCAAATCCACCAGCTGCCCCTAGGAAGAAAAATGAGGCTGTCTGCTCCCATAAAGATTTATAGTCTTGGAAACACAAAGGGGCAGGTGGGCATTTTCCTATAGGATCATTATATGCCAGGGTTTGCTTGATGGTAGTGAGTTTGGTTTTGGCAATGAGAAGACAAAATGGTGCCTTCAGATGAGTGACAGTCGGGAGAATCCTTGTGAGGTAGGGGACCCTGTGCTCATTCTTATTTTACAGTTGGGAGAGCTGAGGTCCAGAGAGCATCATCGCCAGGGTTAAGTGTTCTGTCACCTGTTGGTGGCATAGTGGTTATGCGTTGGGTTGCGAACGGCAAGGTGAGTAGTTCGAAACCATCAGCCAGCGCCATGGAGGAGACGGAAGTGTCCTACTCCCATAGAGAGCACAGGGGCCAGGTCTTTCCTGTCTTGTAGGGTCGCTCTGAGTCAGAATTGACTCCGTGACAGGCAGTGGAGTTGTCCAGTTAGGTGGGGGAATGCCTGGGGGGTGCTGAGCAGGTGGGTCCCGCCCCATCTTTCACGCAGGCATCGCGAAGGCCTACTACGTGCGGGCGCGGGCTCACGCGGCGGTGTGGAACGAGGCGGAGGCCAAGGCGGACCTCCAGAAAGTGCTGGAGCTGGAGCCGTCCATGCAGAGGGCGGTGCGCCGCGAGCTGCGGCTGCTGGAAAGCCGCCTGGAAGAGAAGCGGGAGGAGGAGCGGCTGCGATGCAGGAACATGCTGGGTTAGGGCGGTGCCCAGGGCGGGGCCGT